AACTTTCTTGATCCGTATGTCTACTTTCAACAAATTTATCCTTATATATCCTTCCACACAAGCACAGCATGTCTGGTACATGATTTTCTTTCTTTTCTAATGCCTTTTCAATAACTTTCAAAGCTCTTTCCCTATCTCCTTCTTTATTTCGTCTGTTTAGTGCAAAAGCATATAAGTAACGAATAGCAGGGGTATTTATATAATTTTTATGTGTAGGAATAGTTTTTAAATCATCTACTAATTGTACCATTGCATCATAACCCTAGAACAAATATATTATAAGTTTAAATATATTATCATTTTTTATCATATTACACTACATGTACAAATTACCTGTATCTCTCGAAATGAAATGAGTACATTAAGCACTACTTCTCCAGAAAGAACATTGGGATCATCCAAGCGCTTACGCATGTTGTTCAATGCTCTAGAGAGTTCTTCTCCTGAATAGGTTTCACGTGCTTTACGTAAATCTGCTAAGAATTTTTCTTTCATATGAGCTCTAAAAACATCAAACATGATGATAATAATATTAATAAAACGTACAATTATTATTCATTTGTGTTAAAGATGTGCAATTATATTTGATTGCATAAAGAACTACATTTAAATTAAAAAACAATTTAGTACTTCAAGTAATACAAAGATTATTCAGTTTAACGTAATACATACTTTAATAAAGATTGTGAGAAAAAGATAAGATAAGAATGACAACAAAATTTCTTTTTGTCTGTGATGTAATTACTTATGAATGCATATTAGCTTTTGTATTACAGATGGCAACAATTTATACAAAGTTTTATAAATATTTTATTTTATAAATATTTTATTTTTACATATTATTGTAAAACTTACTTGGATTGTACTTCAACATCTTGAAATAATTTCTTTAATTTTAGTGTAAGATGTTGTTTTGGATCTACGGATTCTTCGCCTGTAATTCTACTAGTTGCTGGGCAAGTAGCAACACAAGAACCACATTCTATTACACGATATGACACGAATGTATAACTACCACATGATAACTGTAAGAATTATTTCATTTATATTAGTTGTCTTATATATTACAATAAAATATATTAAAGCATTACTTTGGATGTATGCATGTTTCTTTAATGCAGCCTGTCACTGTCACAATTTAATTTGATAGGATATAATATACTTGGTAAGATATAATTTCCTATTATACTACAAATATAACTTTTGAATTTTAATAATTATTGTACTACAAATATAAATATAAATTGCATTATAGAACGAAAAATATAGAGCAATTTTGATTAGTGTGTACTGTCAGTAAGCACCATGGTAATTGCTATATTAAAAGCATGGACTCATTTTTCAACTCCATATATAGTAAAACTACATATATAGTATATGATAAGATTATTCATACATTGATTCTATCGAAACGAATATTACTCATCTATTTGTTAATTTAATTCGAATATTTTAAATAAACTTTTATGATATTAAAATTTCTTATGTGGTACAATAAATCCTATGAAAGATATTTGAATATCGGTGATAGTAACTGACAATTATTAAATGACAAAATAATAATATTTATTAATTATTTAATTATTAATAATTCAACACGAGAATAATGAACTTGAATATAATCCGTTAAAATGTAGATACAAGAATGACGAAGTATGAGACTTATGAAGATAATAAGACATCGCATTTACCGCATGTGCCGCATGCGCGCGAATCACCATGATCTCAAATAGGTTTTATCATAATATATATTTGTCTAACACTTGTACTATTGCCATTAGTAGATGAAATGACATAAATGATATTTATAATTCATACTTAATACCTTCGCCTAAGAAATTTAATAAAAAAAAATAATCATTCAAAATTTTAATTAATTTATATAAAACTAAAAGTACTTTAAAAGAGAATATAACCTATTAAAAAATATAATTAACTAAATTTCGTAATATGTAATAAGTATTTAATCAAGATATAGTAGGTTCGTTTCATAGAACATGGCTATTTATAAGACCTTTAATTAAGATTATTGCTTCAGTGTTTCTATTATAGTTCTGATAAATGGACAAGGTTATTAATTGATCATTAAACTTCCTATTGACACCTATACTTCTATGTTAAGAGAGTTTAAAACTTTTAAGTATTCTAAATACTTCTTAATATAATTTGTTATTTGTTTTTTCGTTTTATATTTATTAATAGTTACAAAAAATGTTTATTGAACGCATATTGATCTAGTGTATAATTTTTATATATTGGACTTTATATCATATATTTTGTAATTGTTATTAAAGCATACATACCTTAAGTCTAATTGTAGCTTCAGTATCTACATCGTTATGAAGCAAGATATTTTCTTTCATACCAAAGCTTTCCCTGACACCCAGATGATAAAATAGTGCAGATTGTTGTAACTGAATGCTTAAATCAACCACAGCTACATCTGCATTATAAAATGTATCCAAAACATTTGTTTCTCCAAAATCAAGCTTTTCAAACTGCAATGAAAACACGTTTTAAATTATATAACATAACAAATATGCTTATATTACTTGACGTACCTGTATATGATGCATGTTTGCATTCACTAAATGACATGCTTGTTTTACTTCTTCTAAAGCTCTTTTTCGTTGTGCAAGATGCTCTGGTTGTTGTAGATCTAATACACATGCTACATCCATTCTAGGCCTTCCTGATACTGTAGTATGTCCAGAAACATCGCTCTGTGTTCCAATACTATCTGTACTGGATATACCATCTACTATTCCAACTATACAAAAATAATATTTATCATACATACATTATATCTTTAAATAATGTGTAATATAATTTTCATGAAACATTATTATAAAATATATTTTTTAATACCTGGTACATCTATAGTATCTCCACAAGTGGACGGCATATTAACTATATACTTGTTATGACCGTCACTCTATAAAGGTAGTTTTCTTCAAATTTATAAGTCACAAATCTTGTTGATTAATTTACTCGTACTTTTCTCTGGACATTAAGAAAAATATATTTAAATCAATTACCGTAATCAGTGATATAACACATATATATAAAATTATATTGATAATATATACTCCAACATGCAAATATAAAATAAATTTTTATTTAGACTTTACAAAACTACTCTTATACATGAAATATTCTTTAAAATAATTATAATAAAATAGAAAATAGTTTATGGTATGGATTATCAAAAATTATAAATTACAGAAGCAAAAATATTTGATGACAGTCGCATTTGCTTTAGGATCGTCTGTATAATAAATTACTTTGAAAAGCTGCTGAATGAATCTTCACTAATTAAACAACTGCGATAAATGGAGTGATTTAATTTGTAAAGGGTTAAAAAACAATACCTTTTATGGCGTACATTATAAAAAATCTCTATCTGTTTCTTCTAGAACACACAAATCCGGGCTCGAGGTCGCGCACAAGTACAACCTACTGCAAGAAGTTTCTTTTCCTTCACACAGATGGTGCATACATAGTTCTTTATATCTTTCTCTCTTACTTTACTAATTCAAAAATAGAAACACTACGAGATATAATGGATTAAACAGAAATGAACATTTTATTTTAATCTGTAGCTAGATTAGTCAAAGTAATTATTAAAAATTTTCCATTCATTCATAAAATTTTTCATGAACTGGTTAAGTTTAATTTTCTATATAAATAACTGAGAGTAAAACTACAAGATATGTTAGAGAAAAATTTCAAACTGTTAAAGCATTTATCGATCATTGTCTTTATCGAGTGAAATGAGTTCTCAAAGAATATAAGAGATGCAGAGAAAGTCTTTAACGTTATTATTAGGATAGTATAAAGTCAATACGAGGATGAAAGACTATATATGTTCCTTTATATGCAATGAAAAATCTTGGATGAAAACAGTGCATGTTTCCCCATTGCATTGTAAAATTCTTTTGTCGATCGACTAAAGTCGACGAGTGAACAGGAGAGTATGCTAAGTTACATTTCAATATCACACAATGACACATATATGTATGTAAAAATATATAGTTTAGGGGGACCGGAAAGTAATGTCGTTTCTGCGCATGTCGATATTTAATTGTTAAAAATTGTTAAAAATTGTTAAAAATTTATTTGTTTGAATTTAATTTAAGAAAGCGACATTACTTTCCGGTCTCCCTAATATAAATGAATGTATTCTATGAATTTATATTGTATTGTAAAATACAAATAATTAGCCGGACTTTATATAATTAATTGCACGTTTACTAATTAGATATTATACATATGGTGTTTATACATATTTTAACCGTCTTTAAATTAATGCAAAATATTATGTAAAAGTGTGAGAATAGATTGAATAAGATTACAAAACACAATGAGCATCACTGATTCCATAATTTTATATTTCTACGCATAATAGAAACGCGTCAATTAAATTATTAATTCAATAATTTTAATGAAATAGTAATATTATGTGTAATGGCAAATATTTATTAAATACGTTCGTATTTTAAATTAGAATTAGTCACAAACTTAACATAAACAATTCAATATTCGAATTTCAGTCGACATTCTTTCATTATGTCGTAGTACTTCATCTCGTAAATGTCGTAGTCATCCAAGTAAATTACCAATTTTCTTGAATTCGTTCTCTTTCAGAATTTTCTATATATTTCATATTTGTTGGTAGATATCTCTGTAACCAGTACTTCCATTAATCAGATCTGGTCCATCCTTATTCAGTTTAATAATTTCTTTATATTGGGTTTACCAATAAGTAATGTTAACATTTTAAATAAGAAAAACACTGAATAAAAAGTGATTTTTATTTAGATATAAAATACAATAAAATTTAAGTACTAATTTAAGAACTAATTAGCTCCATTTACGTAATATGAAATTATTTAGTTTTCAACTGATATTTAATTTATCAGAAGAAATTTTATTCTGTTATACATATATGTATGATCATTTAATTAATTATGACATATAATATATAGATTTTTCTATCTCTAATTTTGTATTAATGTCTGTTATATAAAAGTCTAGAAGAAAGTATATTATAGCATACAAAAATTATTCTCTGAATTTTTATATGCAGCAATTTTTGATGTAACTTTATCATTGCTTAAAGTAAATAATAAATAGGTAATTTTCAATGCTATTCACATATGGAACTTTCTGTATCCAGTTTTAAATCAGTATTTTTTAAATGTTTCTCCATCCAAATATCAAATTTTTGACTTAGATCTTCTGACATGTAATTTTTCCAATCACCAATTTTACCTTTCCTTATAAATTTTACATTAGGATTATTTTCATCAAAACCCTTTTCTTTTAATATATGTTCTAAATTTACAGCAGGATTTGTCGTCATTTTAGAGAATTTTAAGTGTTCGCTAAGTTCAATAATTTGTTCATTTGTTATTGTTTTGTTAAGAAATTTTGCTGTTTTTTTAATTATTTCAGCTTGATCCTAAAAAATGCAATTATAGTTAACACATTTTAAAAACACATATAATATTGTTATAATAAGTACTCTCATCTGTAACCTTCATCATATCTTCATATGTTAAAAACAAAATATTATCTTGTTTTCTAGCATTCCAGAAAGGAAGTACGTGATTCCAGAATGGTCCCATTGGAACTTGAATATAAATTATCAAAAGCATTATCATTAATTTATATATATATAATATTATATATATAATTTATTTATATATATATATATATATATATATATATATATATATATATAGAGAGAGAGAGAGAGAGAGAGAGAGAGAGTGAGAGAGACAGAGAGAGAGAGAGAGAGAAAGAGAGAGAGAGAGAGAGAGAGAGAGAGAGAGAGAGAGAGAGAGAGAGAGAGAGAGAGAGAGAATGTACACACTTTTTTCCAGATGCCAGCATATTTTACGAGTAAAAATAAAAAAAATATCTTAAACATAATGTCGTAAACATAGATTCAAAAATGCTATGTTAAAAAGTTATAACAAAACTACGAAATAACAATAGACTAGTTTTTGTTTGATATAGTAAATGAATAAATTTAAGATATTTATCTATTTTAGTTCCATTTCGAAGTTCTTATAAATACAGAATTGACATCTATCAAAAATTGAATTAATTATATTCAAAATTTTTTTGTCGATTTCCTTTTATTTTGGAGAACCATATTACTACAATCATTTCAAGTAGCAAATAGCTTGTGTAAACATATTAGATAATTACTGTTAATCTGTTCTTATATGTACTACATCGAACGAAAAACAAGCTGTTGTTATCTTATATTTCTGTTATAACTTTTTAATGTAGCATTTTTGAGACTATGTTTATATATTTTCTTTTCATTTTTATTTGTAAAATATGCTGGTGTTATTAGTTAGAAAAAAGTAAGGATATTCTGTATATATTCTATAATAATATATAACTTTTGTGTAATTAATACCATTGTCATTCACAAATAATTCCGCGAAATCTTCGAAGCTGCCTTTCATATCATGAAATACTTTACAGTAATGATAAAAGCTCACACATGTATCTTTAGGATTTCGGCTTATATATATAATCTGAAAGATAATAAATTTTTATAAGCGTTACTTTAGTTCATAAACATAATTAAATGTATGTTTATACTTTCGGTTTCTTCAAGTGAATATCTGTAGGTAATAAATCCCAAGGTAAATGTGATTTAATATATCGAGGTTGTGATGCATTTACAACATTTTCTACTGAGTCACCTAATTTTGAAAACCAATCTACGTAATTTCCTGTAACCATGAGGGCGGATGCTCTAAAACATATCAGCTGTTATGCCGTTTTGTAATTGAATTATTTACATTGTATTAATATCCTTACTCTAGCAACGGACTACGTATCACCAGAAGAGTTTTCGTGGTTTTATAATCAAAATTATTTCCAATACACCATACCATTTCTTGTACCCAATGACTACCTATAATGTAAATATTACTAAATATACTAAATATTACTTAATTTTATTATATTACAATTTTATGATTTATAATTTATCTCAAAAATAATTGAAAAATCAAAATTACCAGTTCGAGGATAAGAAACTACCCATATGTCATCTTCGTATATTTTCATATCTCTTATTTTTTTAGCAAAGAACGCATAATTAGGAGGTAATAAACAGTATCCTGGTTCTACTTTTAAAAAGCTGGATTTTACTCCAAACATATAATCCAATTTATCAGCAAAATTGCCTTCCATAGTTGAAAATATAATAGATTTTTTATTCACTATAATCATTTTATTTTAGTCAATGATAGTTACACTATACAATATAAGCAAAAAATAAAATTTGTTTATACTTACTCCTTGTTCAAAATATTTTACAAACGTTTAGATTTTGCATAAGCTGTACACTTATATACAGTTAAGAGATATACTGATTTAAAAAAGGCTGTGTGAAGGAAATGTGCAAGTATGTCAAACCACTTTCGAAGCATTTTCATTCTACTATCTCCGTAAATTTTTTTTTTATTTGAAAGTATCAATCGTTCTACTTTTTTACATTTTTATGGAATGATATAGTAATTAATCACTAATATATTTATTTATGTGTTCATGTTAATAAATAATTCTAGATTTGAATTATTTTATTTTAAAATAAAAAAATAATATAAAGATAGATAAATTAATTATTTTATTTTAAAATAAAAAATAATATAAAAATAGATAATGATAGATAATAATAAAAATATAATAGGAAAATAATAAAAAGATAATCTAACGGAAAAGCAGGATGAATAAGATGTATAGCCTTGTTACATGTAAAAAAATATTTGTTTATTCATTTCATAATACGATATTTGTATTTATCAAAATTAAGATTCATTTATATACAATCTAGCTGTAGCCATTCTTTGTTCAAACATTTATATATGACCAGAGACCGTGTTACATTATCTGAAAATTGTAAATACGCTCTTAAAAATTAATAGCGTCATCATATTTATACAATTGCGTGTTGTGCCTGTATGTCTTCGTGGTCAGACCAAGAAACAGAGAAAATATCGGTTTAGATCACGGATGATGTATAAACTGTTACATATAAAACTATGGTAATCAATTCGGGTACGATGCACGACCGGTAATTTTAATCATGTAATTTATAACTAGCACCTGTCATTTACAATACAAAGAAAACTAGTAATATTTCTACCGTTTATATGATGGAATGGGTTGTTGATTATTACGAGTAGGTTAATAATTATTTATTATATGTTAACATAACGTGCATATGTGTGGTATTTATTATATATAGTGTGTGAAAATGCAAATATATGTAATTAAATTTATTTTGAAAGTTAAGTAAGTTTATTTTGAAAGTCAAGTATAACTTTACAAATATCTACATTTTAATCTACATTTTAATCTCCATAAAATAAGAAAATACTGTTTCTCAAATTTGATTGTATTTTATATTGTGTCTTCTGTTGATTAGAGATTTTCTTAAATATTATTAAAACAAATTCTGTCTCATAAGCTTGTATATACATAGTTTAGTTTTTTCAGGTTAGGTTTCTTTGTCCCGTCTTTATTACTTTGTTTCTTATGAAACATCTGTTTTTTTGTGTATTGTCATGAGACATGTAAAAGTTTTTAATACACTAAATAGTATATATACAAGTCTTTCTATATATCTAGTTTTACATAGTTTTTAATTCTTATGTTTTTTAGTCTTCAGATTTAAAAAATTTTACTATTTTTGATATAATATTTATTTTATACATTTTAGAGATTTAAATTAGAAGGACCTAATATATAATATTTGGGAAAAAGAATATGCAATCTAGTAAATATCAAACAATGTATTCCACGGATGAAATTTTTGATGATCTTATGGATGAATGTAAATATACTGGATTGGATGCACACCTATCATATGCTTTACGAAACCGTATAGAAAAATGTAAAATTGAAACTCGGAGAGAAATTGTGTCTTATAAAATAGATGGATGTGCACCATTATTTATTGCCTGCAAAAGAGGTCATGTAGACATTGTAGAATATCTTATAACAGTATGTGATGCAGATATTGAACAGAGAGGAAACTATGCAGCGCCTGATGATAGATCAATACATTATGTTACACCATTATGGTGTGCTGCAGTATCTGAAAAACTTCCTGTAGTAAAGTGTTTGATAGCTCATGGTGCAGATATTAATGCTGTCTCAGATTCTGGTTCTACTACAGTAAGATCAACATGCTTCGTGACACGTATGGGTAATAGAATATATCTTCCTTAATAATTATAGATATATATATTTTTATATTATTTATTATCAAAGTTTTTATAATTTAATATATATAAGCAAATAGTACTGAACCAGAGATATAATTATACATAGATTTAAATCTATGTTTTATTGCCAAGATCAAAACTTATTGTGTCATTACTAATTGTGCTATATTGATATAGTATTGCATAAAGCAAGAAATGGAATATTTGATATACGACCAGAAAGATTCTTTTTTTATATTATTTTTTATTGATATATATTTTATATTTTAGATATTGTATCCTATTTGGTTGAAAATGGTGCTGACATATCAAAACCAAATTATAATGGTGGAACATGCTTAATAAATTCAATACAGAGTGTAGAATTATGCATTTTCCTTCTGCAGCATGGCGCTGATATAAATGCTAGGGATATTCATAATAAAACTGCTTTATATTATGCTATTCAAGAGAATAAATTTAAAACTACAAAACTTTTTCTTGAACATAATGCAGATCCTCATATTAGATCTCGGTGTAATGATGATGCACTTCAAATTGCTTGTTTAAGAGGGACCATTCCAATATTTGAATATTTAGGTAAAAGATTCATTACATTTAATGTTACAATAAAAATTTATATAATACATTTATATAGATTTTATTTATTAATACATATTATTTTAGTGGAAAACGTGTCTTATTCTCCAGAAAGATTAGCAGATGCTAATGAGTTAATGGGTTCCACATTTTTTTATGATCATAATGATACACAAATGGCTTTAAAGTATTGGAGAACAGCTATGGAAATTAGAAACTCTCACATGGTAGATGGTAAACCATTACAAAAAAAACCTGTGTTACCCAAACGAGATACTTACAGATATGCAATGGAATTTACTACTCTAGAGGAATTAAATGTAATTGCACTTGATATAGATGCAATGCGAATACAAAGTTTATTAATATGTGAACGAATATTAGGACCACATCATAAAGATACATTATTAAGGTTAATGTTTAGGGGAGCTTCATATGCTGATACATTAAGGTATATATTTTGATATACTTTGTTTTGATATAATATTATTTAATAAAATTTGTTATATAATTTTTTGTTATAGATATCAACGTTGCATAGATTTGTGGCGTAGGGCATTAGAAATTCGTGTCGAAAAAGATTCTGTAAGTATGCATTGTACATATATAACATATTAAAATCAAAAAGTATTTAATAAATATGTATAATAATATTTATAACATTGCAGATTTTGTATGCTGACACATGTCTAACAGCACAAGCTTTACTGAAGCTTATGATTGATTTAAATGAAAAAACTTTGGAGGTCATGAATCGTAATGGAAATAAAAAGGAGCCTAGATTCTGTGATGTAGTAGCTATCTTTAAGTTACTCTCAAGTCAATTAATAGATGCTAGAAAATTATTAGAGGTATTTTCCTAGAATTATACAATTATATTTATTTTTTACTATGATTTAATATGAAATCATTATAGATAAAACCAGTGCACAAAAGACAACAAGAAAGTTATGAACGCATCCTAAAATGTGTGACACATTTAATATATTTATTGATAGAAACAGGAGAAACTAATGAGGAGAAAACATTAACAAAACAACTAGTACATGAATTAGTTAAACAAAATCCTAGATCTGCACATGCAGAAGATACTCTTTTGCATCTATGTGTATCTAGTTTGAATACTATCAATACAAGTTATTTTACTACTGCTAATGCAACTCAGGTTAGTCTAGATTTGCTGATTATGTAAACATATATCACTAGTATATTATATAATATCACTAAAACAAATGCTAATAAAATTTTAGGTAATTTTTCCACGTTTGGAAGTTGTTAAGTTACTTTTAGAATGTGGAGCAAAAGTCAATGCACGAAATGAATCACGATCAACTCCTTTGCACATAGCAAGCAAAGTTAAAAAGTTTGATGTTCCAGTAAGTATGTTACATCTGTTTATTAGTATGTGGGATAAAACAATTTTATAATTCTTTTTTTTATATATTTTTTAAACGCAGCTCATAAAATTATTGTTGGATTATGGGGCTCATTTAGATACTCCAAACAAAGCTGGAAATACACCAGCAGATTTAATATCTTCTTATCCTGAGAATAATGTGAATCTTGTTAAATATATTAGCTTACAATGTCACGCGGCACATGCAATGTGTAAATATGGTATTGAGTGCATAGAATTGCCATCTGCATTACAAGAGTTTTTAGAATTTCACAGAGAATAAACATATATTTTTACAATAGTATGAAAGTAATGATATATGACATTCGACAAATTTAAAAAATCAAAAACGTGCATGTGTGTTTATACAAAAGTAATATTGTAAGATGTGAACAATTTGAAAGTTTTCTCTAAGAAAACAGATAGGTGTGTGTACGTTATGCGTGTGATGAGTGGATCGATGCATACATTTTTAAACTACATCAAGTTGAGATAAGTATTAGGTTATTTTTATCTTTGCACTGCTGATGATATAGTGCAAGATACATGTTAATTTTTAAACAAAACTGTTTAAAAATTAATCAGAATTTTTAAGCCTTCTCTTCACCGAAGTGATAACGCCTTTTGTTGCTGCGTGTTTCAAAACATTTTGAACAACAATTCATAGAAACATTTTTCTACACTGAAGCAACATAATCTGAGAGATAGTTGTGTTTTGTTTCCGTTTCTTTTTTTTCAAGACTATTTGCATTACACATTGGAAGAGCATTTATTTCTGTTTCCACATGTGGCCGCATGTTTCATATTTTTCTTTAAAATTTACTGCTTCGAATGGAAATAGCCAAGAAGCGGTGAAATTTGTTATTCAAAACAGAAATATGGAGAAACATTCGATAGTAAGAGACTTTTTCAAGATATATGGAACATCAACAAAAAATTCCTCATTTTTGCTTTAGTGGGAATAAAGCTTTAGAATCGTCGGTGCAGAGTTGTCAGTATCGTTAGAGTAGCCAGTGTTGTATTGTGCGTGTCGAATTTTTAATATATTTAAGATTAAATATATTATTATTATTATAACCACACACGATATCGCTTAGAAACCGATAGCTTATCATCCTGCTTTCTCCTTTTTGATTATATTATTACAAAAAAGTGATATTTCTTTTTAATTTAGCAAATACATTTCTTTTTTTCAGTTGTAGGTAGAGGCTAATAAAATATTCATCTTGAAAAGACTATGCTTAAATAGTTTTTATGAAATTGTTCATTGGATACATAATAATTGCTTAGAAGTAAAATTTAAAATAAAATTTGGTTTTCACTTATGAGTTTTAAAACACTTTTATACATTTTATTTATGTATATAATTCAAAACTATTTTTTAAGTATTGGCACTTTTCAGTGCAAAACTAGATCGCATGGTAACACAGTATTAAAATATTTACTTTCAGTACTAAAGATATTTTACGTTTGTAGGTACGACATTTATTTTCGAACTTTATATTTGCGTAATTATATTGTCTTAAATTTCTCTGGCCGTTGCAAATATATTAAAAAAATTGAGATTATTAAACAAAAAAGCCTGTAAAAGGTGATATGACATAAATATACGTACATAATAATAAGAAATTATATCTAGATGCATGCCACAGTACAAGTATATTAAGTTTGCAAAAATTACTCAAAAATCCAGATTATAAATAAATGAATATTAAAAATGAGATTTTGTAAATATATAATACAAGAATATATAACGAATACAGTACTTAATACGATTGTTTATATCTTACATCTTATATAAAAATTATTTTGTAATATAATAAATATATGCAGCACTAAATACATAATGTTTATGAAACTTAATATACATACATTGATATTCATATGAGTATTATGTTTAATATTATTAAAAGAAATAAAGCAAAGACGTGGAAAAAAATATATAAAATCAATCGTCTTATCTATTATAATTTTCGATCAAAGTGTACAACATACGAAGGTATGTGTTGCTTTTGACAACTATAAGTTTGCTTTGGCACTATAATAATAATCAAGGAACAACACATAAATGAAACATAAAAAAGAAGAAATATAAAATGTCAATGATGATGTGATTCTCATATGATAAACATCAGTCATTCGATCATAAATAGAAAACATTATCTTAATGTTAATCGTAAATAAAGATCTAATTGTCTTATTACCAAGTTTGATAAATATGTTCACGAAGGTTGCTTGTGAAAATCATTTGTGAAAATTATTTCATTCTTAGATAATAAAAAGGGACAATCAATTTTTTTAGCATGTATCTAAATTTATAAGAGACGAAAAAACACAGCCACTATTCCAACAGTTAGGGATAAGTTATGTAAAATTGCTTCGCTTCGAGAATAAGCATCAACGACGTATATTTTCCAACCCATATTTGCATGAGTAAAGGAATTATAATAAACAATATCCGGCCACGATGAGTTAGGTGTCACTTCTAAAATACCTCCTTCACCTATGAAGACACGAATATACAGTAAAATGATTAATATCAAAATCGTATAATTTCTTTGTAAAAAATATATCGATCAGAATTTACCAGGTTCGCAAATAGATATAAGACTTCTATTAAATTTTTTGAAAGATAGAAAGTCATCGTCTAGTCTTCTGTCTCTGCCATCATGCTTGCTCAGGCAAAGAGGGCCCACTGTAAATAAATATGCTTTCATATTGATCAATTTATAAAGTTAATTCTTTTAAATAATAATTCTATTATTTAAGGTACCTGCTGTTGGCCTTGGTCGGCCTCTTCTAGTAAACTCAACACCAGCTAACACTCTTACTTTGTTTTGTGCAATATCGCTGAGTCTATCGTAGCCTCCGTGAGGCTCATCCGTGATAATTAGAGGATGATACAAATTAGAACTATGAGGATTATTACCTCCATAGACAACGAAGTTGTATGTTAATCCTCGACGCAAGTACAATTCCGGTATTAATTGACCTTCAATGTACCACGCGTAACCCATTGACGTTTGTCCTATTATCATAAATTCCGATCATACTGGAGACATAATTAAATTACAGAGAGTGACTAAACGTGTTTACAAACCTGTTATTCCTTGATAGCCTTTTTTTCCTCCAGATAGTCCAATAGTTGCTTTAAAAGTTCTAATACTCCTATCGAATATTTCTGCCTTTTCCCAAGGTATCCTAAAAAGTTTGATGCAAATGAATTCGAATTGCAGTATATTACTATCAATAGTGAACTATAATCCTCACATGAGCTTTTCATTATCTTCCGTGAAATCCATACAGGTGTTTTCCGGTTCCTGACGATTCAATTCTAATCGTAAGTCACTTTTAGGATAGAGATCATGAAAATTAGGTTCCATATTTTCATCTAATCTTCCTAATGCCCAAATTATATAGACCATCCTGTCTGTAGGATATGTTTTGTCTCCTGGATCAGCTAAAAATTACAAATTTTTTGTAGATTGGGTTTATCAGAACTATGTTTTTGTACTTACACGAATTAAGCGTTCGCCTATAGGTAATGATATTGATGCCATTTTCCCTTACCGCGGTATACAATTGATTGCTGTCTAATCCACCTAAAAGCTCATCCTTGCAAACACCCTTGTACTGTCCAAGAACTTTTCCACACTTTTTTACAAATTGTTAGTCATTGGTAATTATTTTTATATTTTATCAATAGAAATTAAAAATATACGTACCGGTGCTTTTGTCGTTATGTTATAATCAGTGGCATAGCCCCGAGTACCATCCATATAAGCAACGGTAACATCTGCACCTTCCATTTGGCTGGAGCTATCAGAACCGGATAAGCCAAAAGCCATGTACTCATCTTCGGCTATAAGCATCAAAGTTAAGCCTTAAAGACTCAAAGAATCTTAATTATTTTATGAGATAATAAAATTACTGACCAACTTGACCAGCCAATTGTATCGTGATCTGTGGACCAAAGATTTCCCAACTAACTTGATAACGTTTATGGAGCTGAACACAATTTGGCAAAGATTGTGTATGCTTGACAATCTGTCAATCGAGAACATGTTAAATAAATGCGTTTAGAACAATAAAATGATCGATTTTTAATCATGAGAAAGCATTATTTTACTTTAACTAAAGATGGTGGTACATTAAGACCGTCTGGTATAATAATCGAGCCATAATTCGATTTAGTTTTTACGTCAAATACGCTCAACCAATCGACGTTAAAGACAGTCATTTCTCCTGGCAATTGGATTATTATATCCTCTTTTTTATAAGCACGCAGTGGATCCAGGCTGATGAAAGAGGCGAATAAATAATGAAGACATGCCTCAAAAAAAACTTATCATAAAAATTTATTCTACTTACTATCCATACTCATCAGGAACTTTGGTTCCTTTGCTCGAAGGTTGAGGACCTAAACCGACCCAGAAATACGTATCATTTCCCGTCCCATCATACGTAAATTGTGGTATACTGATTGTCTTCGAATCCAAGATCACTATCGATTCAGACGATACGTCATGGGATCTTTTGGATAGCTGAGAAATCTTCTGAGGAGCTGGTGGATCAAATTCTTCAGGAATATAGACATCACCAAACGTGTTCTACAAAATCGGAAATAATCGTTAAAACTGGTACACGAGAATGAAAAATTATGAGTAAATTTTGCAAAAAACAACCTGACTAGCCAAATCGTACACGGCGAACCATTTAATATCCGTTATCTTTTTGTTGTCCGGCAAGGTCAGCGTAAAATCTCGATTGAGATACCGACCAAGTACGTTGGTCCTGAAAATCAGTGAAAAAGTTGAAAAGCATGAAAGTTAAGCGAATTATTCAAGGTCGCTTACTTGCCCCACTCGTCAGGTACGATGAAACCTTGAGGACCTGGCCGATTAGATGCACCAGCCCAAAAGAACGTATCTGCTCCGTTACCATCGTAACTGAAGGAAGTTACAAGCAGCGTGTATTCATCGACTGCATGTAACTCACCAGATACCTGATGATGATACGCGTTCAACTTTCCAATATATTTTCCTCTGTATTCCTCGTCATTCTCCTCCGCTAAACCTGTCGATCGAATTACATATTTCGTAAAATTGTTTCATGCGTATTATGTGTTCGTCGATGAACATACTCGTCCTATCTATTCATTTGAATCTATTTTTGTCAAACTTTCAAAAAATATAAGGAAAGAATAAAAATGAAGTTTATAGAAAGGATATTTTTTTTTATTTTTTTGTTTAAAAAATTTTCTTAAACAGAACAATTTTAAAAAGAAAATGTATATTTAAAGCTCTTCTAGATAATAACGATCTATATCGTTTTTATATTCATTCCATTAAAGTGATTCATAACGGAAATCGAAAGATAATTTCAAAGTTACGAAACCAATTGACAATCAAATAATTTAGTGGAATTCAATCAATTGACTTTCGAAAATACAAACAAGAGCCAAAAGAAAGAAGAATAATAAAAAGGAAAATGAGCTCTATAAGTTCTCCATTGAAAGGTCCATTGATTCGGAGGATCGCGCCAGCTCAATAGAAGGAGACATCAATGACACGTACCGTTATAAGAGAGAAACAGACACGCCACAAGAGCGCTCGCTCTCCACGTTTTTATGGCGTTTGCCATTGCTTCATCTTATCGAGCTTTCACACGAAATCCAGGAAAATATTATCCGTTGATCAGATCAATGGAGTGTATATACGGTAAGAAACGTATGTACATAGAAGATAAATAGAACAAAATAATGTCTCTTTGATGTTAAGAAGTCACACACGCACTTTGGAGATAAGAAATGATACAAAATGAAAGAAATGACGCGATAGCAGATCGAGCGTTCGACCGGTTGGTGATTCGCTCCTTGAAACGAAGTATCTCAGTAGAAAGTAGACTCTAACTCTCCGAATGGTTAGTACGCGAGGCAACGCACCTCCAAGTGGCTTTGCCTAAGTGATTTCAACCTTCTTTTCAGAAGAGAAAGTATATGCGCTGCATTGACTGCCTGCACGTACCTTCATTGAGTCGAGTCGCGTGTTTTATTTCAATTCTTTACGAACTCGTCGAATCTATCAACGTTCTTCCGGTACCAAACGCTGACTAAGACTCAATAGCCGTCGATAATCATCCAATAAATCTAATGGAATTTTTACGTAAAATTACTTTTCAACATCTGAACTGGAACTCCATTTTTTATGCCTCATCCTTCTTCTTTCTTTTTTTTTTTAGAATTTCAGCGAAATCTTGCGTATTTTTTGTTTGTATGGAATGAAATTATTTACCGTTATTTAATTTAAAATAAGATTTTTCTCTCTCGTATTATTATGATGATTATAACTGAACGTGTTTGATCGATTTAAATAGCCATGCGTAGAACGTTTGTCGATACGATATGATTCTATTGTTTGTTGTAACAAATCTACGATGTCAATGATTTCCAATTTAAATGATTCGATATTGTCCTTTTACGATGGTCAGTCTCATTGTTTAGTCACAGATATCTTGGTACCTGGTTATACCATAGAAGAGGAATTCATAAGACTTATTAGATTTGCGAGTTTTAAGAAAATTAGAGATTTCATTTCTAAGATGTAAGTAGATATGTTAATTATCCTTCAAGGTTCAATGTAAATTAACAACATGTACATATTTTCTTAGTTCTAGCCATTCAATAAACTTACATTATCCCACATTCGACTTAAAAACACCCCTTCTAGAAGTTATTCGTCGTGGCGATGTTCATATTTTGGCATTACTTATCGAAAAGATCCCAGTCTGTTTGGACGATACGACAACACAACCTTATGGTAAAACTATTCTTATGAGTGCTGCATACACTACCAAAAATCCGGAAATATTACAATTGCTTTTAAAAAAAGGCGCTAACATCAAAAAGCTCGACAAGTGAGCTCTCAAGGCAAAAATATGCAATTTCTTAATCATTTATATTTTAGTAACGCGTAGATATATGTATTTACAGTCGTGGTTGGACTTGTCTTCAATATGCCATAGTTGGAGAATGTCTAAGAAATGTGGAAATTCTTTTGGATTTTGGTTTGGATATCAATGTTCGAGATTACAATAATCGAATACCGCTAATGATAGCCGGTAGGTATTGCAGTTATAACAAATATAAAAGTATTTATCATCAAAAAATAAATATAATTTAACGATATAATTCGAGCATGTGTTTGTTAGTTCTTTTTTCGAATGTGGACGTTCTTTTGCTGCTTTTGAATCGTGGCGCCGATATTACAGCTAGAGATCAAACAGGCTTCACGGCCTTACACCTTGCAATCTTGCGAAAAAAAAGAGATGCTGCTATTATTTTGATTAAAAGAGGAAGCGACATTAACCTTCCCACACCGCTGACCAAAATCTCGCTTCGAAAATTGTCCGAAATTACGTTGCCAAAACTGTTACCATCTATTCAATACGAAGAAGATGCTCTTGATTGCGAGGATCAAGATTGAATGTGAAAAATGATAAAATTAGTATTTTTATTTTGGTAAATATTATTTGCATTTCAATATCATACAAGTATAAGTAATTGTATTTCATAGATTATAATAAATGCAAAAATGAATACAAAGAAGTTTCCATATTTTCAGCTTAAACTTTTTTTTAGACTCTGATTAGTTTAAATAGTATTGTTTGAAAAACGTGAACTTGTTCACATTTATCAAAAAAAAAAAAGAAAAAAAAAACGTTAAAAGTTGTGTCGATAGATCCGTTAAAAAAAATGAAGACCAACAGGATCAAATATTTTCTTAGTCATCTCGTCAAATTTCTCGATCATGTCAGGAGATAATTTTCCTTTCCATTGATTGACCTCTCCGCTTCGAATGAATGTACCATCGGTGGTGGTTAACTTTATTTTTTTGTAATTTTCAATTGTTCCTTTATAGTTCACCGAAGGGTTCTTCTTCATATTCGCAAAGCTGAGATGCGTGGCTAAAGTTTCCACTTCGTCATCTGTAATCCTTTTGTTCAGAAAAGTGGCTACTTTCTTGATTATAGACGGAAGATCCTGCAAGCAAGATCTTTTTTTAATAGGAGCACTTTATAATGTTTGAGAAATTGGTAACAAGCAAAACGATCTGTTTCACCTTCTTTTTCTTTCATTTAACGTAACGTTTTAAGAGTCGACGTAAAACGATTGTAAAAAATTAAGAAAATAACTCGTTCGTAAATATTGCGTTACATACTTACAGACTTCATATCTTCGTACTTTAAGAATAAAATATTCATGTCATTTTTTTTGTTCCAATAACCAAGGACATGCTCCCAATACGGAGCGTAGGTAACTGGCAAAAAAGATTAACAGTATAATGTACGATGTTAAGGTATGTTATTTCAAATTATACGAAATAATTGTTGCTATTAAAATGAAAAACTTACGTTTTCCACCTAGAAAAAGCTGGCAAAATTCATCGAAATCACCTCGATAGCCTTCAACCAATTTGCCATGATGAAAATAGGAGATACATGTGTCCTTTGGATTCCTGATGACATTGATAATGCGCGCTTTCTTTTCACCCATTCTTAATTGTCGCGGAAGGAGATGAAATGGCAGATGGGTTTTGATATATCTTGGACTGAGTTGGTTTTTTATGAAGTTCACGCTATTTTGCATTACCTCGGAATTCAATGAATTTGGTATATCCAACAAGAACTTTTCGAAGTCGTAGATAATTGAGACCCTACCATAACCAATTTTTCTTTATTTATTTTAACGATAAGCAGTTGAAAATTAATACATTTCAATCTTCAAACTTACTCTAAGAATGGAAATCTTTCAAACAATAATTGTTTTGCGCCTTGGAAATCTAAATCGTTAGCAATACACCAAACCATTTCCTGTGTCCATGTGGTACCTATTATTTGTTTGTTTGTTTGTTTTATAGGAGACTCATTCAATAAAAAAAGTAAAGAATTCAAAGACTACGAGGTTGCATTATTTAATTCTCACCGGTTTTTGGAAAGGTGCAGACCCAAACATCATCATCTTTGACCTCAAAATTTTCGATTTGTTCCGCAAAATGTTGATAACGTTCAGGTAAACAAACACCCTCCACAGTAATGTAACCACTACGAAACTCCGAGGTAAATTTTTCCTTCAATATTCGATCTAATGTTACATTAGTGTTATCTATTTGCGGAGCCATCCTTCCACTCTTATTTAACGATTTCTATTAAATATTCGATCGCTCGGATGCAAATATGGAATATTTAATATAATACTGTGTATACTGGATTTTATTTTAACCGAAATAATCAAGAAATTCTTATTTTTTATTTTATCTATAATGGTCGTTGATAAGGGATGATAATACGGATTTCTCCAGAACAAGATAATAAAATTGGTACATTAGAAGCAAATATACGACCTTACGATAAAATGTTAAAAAAAAATTATTGTTATATATATTAATGATTAAAGACTATCTTCGATGTCGAGAAGTGAAACTTTACTGGTTGGTTCGAAAGTTAAACAGCTCGTTTATATATGAGACAGAGAGATAATTCCAGTAAAATCAGGGTAAGAGCACCAAGTAATTGGCGGCAATTTTTTATTTAGATAGTCATACGCTTGTACAAGGTTGTTACGGATAATTTTTAGTAGTTTTTCTCGCTAAATAGTTACATTATTCATGTCACTTGACTGGCCTTCCCTTTTTCAAAAAATTTATAAAAAAATTCATTTAGAAAGCTACTACGATAGAAAGTTCAATAGAAGAATTTTTTCTATAAAGAGAAAAGCAGTTACTGAAATAGACTTTTAATCATGAAAGGATCATAATTAAAATAAAAATAATGTAAATAAGATAATGTGTTTTTTTTCTTTATTCTTTAGACATAGGTACATTAAAAATCGTACAAAAAGACAAGACATTAAAATGCAGTCTAGAACTGCAAATAAATTTCGTTAAAACTTACATCTAATAAATTTTTTCTGTACTTCATTTCAGGTACTAACTATTTCTATCGTCATAAGCGTTTCAAATTTTTATGGTCGACGATTCATTGTGACCAGAATCATGTTTTTTTTTAACGCGATCAAAAAATTTGATTGTTAAATGACTAAATTAAGCAGGTCCATCTATTCAATGAAATATACTAACTATACTTGGTGTATGTACGAAAATATCTTGGCAAGACAAGAACAATTTAATCTCGTATAAATACTTAACCAATACTTCTTTCTACAACTTTTTTAACATTTATATTGTATCCATACAATTAGAATGTCTTAAATTAATAAATCTTTCGTAAAATTTTACTATTTACGCGAAAGACGCAAAGTATGTATGCATAAGTGCGAGTGATTGAGGTGAAACATTCATAAAATATATATCTGTAAGTTATTAATATGATATTATGATATTAATTCATAAATCGCTCTAATATGATATTCATAAATCGTTCAATCTGATAAATAAATTATAAAGTAATATTGATGAAAAATTAAAAATAATATTGGGTATAAATGTATTGAATTAATTATTTAAAAAAATCGAAGATTATACGGTCAAAAGATATAATATAAGCAATATCATTAAATATATTTCGAAGAAAAATTTTAAATACTGTGCTCTTTTTCATTCGATATAAAACTATAAATATTATTTATCTAAGAATTATTTAATCAAAAAGAGTAACGTTGGTGAGATCTTAATGTTATAAATTGGATATTACACTGACACTTTGAGATAGATCCACTTGGCCCCTTAAAACTTTCTGCTGTAATTTTTTACAAAAAATTTTGGCCATGAGTTTATTGCGGCGTGTTTCTTCTTGCCTTTCTTGCTGTCGCCGCTTAACTCGTACCTCGTTCAGTCTACGGTAACGTTTACGTAATCGTTCTTTTATTTCTTCATCGGTAATCCTTTTTTGTACATTTACTGAATATAAAATAACCATCTATTAGCAAATCATAAAATATTGTCATTGAAAATAATATTAAAAAAATTACCTGTTGGTTTAAATGATTTAGACAATAAAATCGAATTCGATGTACTGGCCATAGCAAGCAATTGGATACGTTTTTCTTTTCTTAGCTGTCGAAGGTGCGCAATTTCGGATACGTACTGTCTACGCGTTTCAGCATTATTTATAAACTCTGGTTTGTTCTTTGATAAATAATCCTAAAAAAATAAAATGTAGTTTAAATATTGAATTAATTATAGATAAAAATTCAAAAATCGAAAAATACACCTGAAGAGTTGCCTTCTTATCATTTTGATCATTTTCTTTTTGCTTTTTACTGGTACAGGTACACTTATCCGATTTTACTGCATCATTGATCGTATTAGATAATGGCATCTTTTTTATCGTGCTAATATTTTTTTGACTATTCTCCTTGGTAAATGAAATTTCATATGCCACTGACTTTGGATATGTTTGACGGCAATTACATTTTCTGATGTTTTCATATACCTTGCCGCATGTACGACAGCATTTACAATTTTTATTGGAATCATTGGCATTAGATCTATTTATATCATTTGATTCTGTATTATACTTCGTTCTATGATTGTTGTTGTCACCTTCTTTAACTTTATTAGGACAAGAACAATTCTTACTGCAGTTGCATTTTATTCTAGTTTGTACTTTTGGTTGCAGAGAAGTTTCATTTTCTTCTGTATTAACTAGACAATAAGGTCGAGTATGTATTTGATGCCGCTCTGCTTTTGAGCAGTTCTCAGAATGATATCTTCTGTTATATTCAGCCTTTAAATTTGAGCAAGTTTCGTGCGATGCATTTGGCATATAAATCTCACTTTCTAATTTATTCTCGCAAGAATAATCATTCGAACATCCACATAAATTTACAATTTTCTGTTGGTTATTACAATCAGCTATCTGTTGGTTATTACAGTCAACGAGTCTACTATCTTGAAGACAGCTTCGATCAGATCTTATTGTAAATATATTAGTTTGTATTTCATCAATTACTTCGTTTGTACATGTACATCCATTTATTGTTGCGGAAGTACCTTCACTGGTTTTTTCTTGTTTTTGACAAATGCAAGAATTTCTATATGCACTATAAGTCCTTTCATGACATAGCTCACAAAAAGGACCAGTACCAATAATTTCCATTGTAGGTATTTGTTTTGTGTGTATTCGACATGTTTCAGGTAATGTATTCTGATATACTGTTTTCTTATTTATGTTATTTATGCCACATTTACTATTGTTACAATAAGCCTTAAATGTAGACTGACAATTACACGTGTACTTTGATTTAGAAGCATTTATTTGATTTTTAGTTTCTTTTTGTTTTAATTGATTCTTGCTCTTATCCATATAACAGTGGATTTGTTGGGAAGAAGATACCCTATTACTATTTGTGTAAGATAATCTTGTCGATTCTGCATCTGTCTCACTATCTTCTTTTGCAAAATCAGAATTTGTAGAAATCTGACGGCATTTATTTTTTGTTGATGAATTTTGAGACTGGCCTTGTGAACATAAACACGCATTTGATATAGCTTGTGAAATATCTTTCTCATCTTGATTAACATACTTGCATTTATTTGGTGAGTGTATCAAATTTTTGTGGACGAAACATTTAGTAAAATGTGTGGTTCCATTTTGTATGCAAGAAGTAATCATGGATACTTCCTCGTGGAGTGTTTGCACACCTATATTAACTAACTTAATTGTATTTCGTGCTTTTGATGTAGTTATAATTTCTCCTCCTGTTTTGGAATGGGCATCAACTGCTTCGGTAGCTGTTTGTGATGAACTATTTCGTTTTTTTGTGCGTTGTATATTATTAGTATAATCAGTATCAGTAGAATGACAAGTTGCTAAATTACAATGAGAAGACCATTGCTCTTCAATAGAATTTTCTCTTGAATTTGATGCATTCCTTAAAATATATAAATTTATTTTAATATAATATTATATGTTTATATGTTAATTTATAGCTCTTTTACTTACCTATATACAGAATCAGTATCAACAGATTTTTCTTCCATATGCGTCATTATATGTACTGGTTTCGTTTTAGATGATGCAGATTTTGATTTTCTTGGTGAACTTTTTGATCTTTCCAGTCTTCGTGGTTGTTCCAATAATCTAAAACATTCCAATATTTTTCTTAGTATCTTTAATTTGTACTTTCTTTTACTGTCTCATGATTAATTATCTATACATATAGTACTTAATAAGTATAAAATATTAAAAAATATACTTTTTTAAATTACAAAGGTGATTAATTTCATTTGTTATCCAGACAATTTGATTTCTTTTTTCCATTTCAGCATAACTGACTAATCTTAAATCTCCTGTATTGGAATTTCGACATCGTTTTAATTCAAATTGTCGTTCGGATAATGTAGTTGGGAATCTCCAATTTGTGTTATTTTCAGTACTCTTACTAGATATAGTTGAAGTTTTTCTATTTATAACAGCATTTAATAACATTCTATTGTGATCAGATGGAGTACTATGTGTAGAAGTTGTTTCATTCCGTTGCAATATTTTACATTTCTCTTTCAAGCAAAATGTATTCTTTATCTTATTGCCTTTCTGGTTTTGTTGTGGAACAAAACATTCAGAACTTTCACTCTTATCTGCTTCTGTTGGAATATTACTACTTTGCTGACAGTTATCAGTTCTTAAACCAATTCTTGCTTTTCTTCCATCCATTTCTGTTCTGTCTGTATTTCCATCAAATTTATCACTGTTACTACTTGCTAAAGTTCCTCGCGTTATTATCTCTTGACCATTTTTCATAGACTTTGGTATAGAACAATTTTTTGTACTTGTTTTCCAATTATCAGATGAATCAGTAGTACTATGCTTTTTTGTTAAAGCGTGTAAAATTTCAGTTTGATAGACTTTTTGCCTAGCATCATCTGGATTCCATGGTACATTATCTTCTAAATTATGTTCAATTTTATCATCAGCATACCTGGCTGTTACAAGTCTTTTAATGACATGATGTATCAATCGCTTCTTAACCTGTTTGTCACATTTATTGGCATCAACTAAAGATTTTAGTATATTAACACTTCTTTCTAAATCTCGTACTAAACTGTCAGAATCACCCCACAATTTTTCACTTAAACTAGAACTAGTGTTAGGAAAAGTTGAATTAGATTCTCCTGTATCAACAGAAGAAACATGACTACCACTTCCATTTAGAACATTTTCATATATATGACCAGGAAAATATTCAAAACTATTAACTCTTCCAGTAATATTTTCTGTGTCATCAAGTTGAGGGGTTAAAGGAGTTGATTCATTTTGCGAAATATCCGAGCTACTGTAATATGCCTTATTTTTTATTTCTTTTCTAGCACAAGCAACATTCTTATGATCATCTTTATGATCATTGCTATTTGTTCTGGAATTCTGGATTTTATATGTATTCTTTGGATTTTTTAAAATGGACTGTAATGATTTTTGCAAACTAGTTCCTCTTCTAGGTAAAGGTGGCTTTTCTTCTTCTTGAACACTTCTAGGTAAAGGTGGCTTTTCTTCTTCTTGAACAGATACTTGTATACCAATTGATTCTTGAGAAAATGTATTTAAACTTGTTTGTATGACTTTATCACAGGTAGTAGGTTTATTTACAACTGTAGATATAGAAGATGTTGAATTAAAAATTAAAGGTAAAGTTACCTTGTTTTTATCTTTTGCATACAGATTTAATTCACTTTGACTTCTTTTTAAAATATCTTCAGAAGTTGGTGGAGCTATTGTATTCATGGAGGTACTCTTCTTTAAAAGAGAGGTAGAAGTTGGATAAAAATGTTCATTATGTATATTGTCTTTATTTATAATATTTTTTCCTTCAGTTGAATACTTTACAGAAGGTATTTTAAAAGTAAATGAAGATTTTGATAGAGTTATATTTGGATATTTCTCTTTCGGACTTTTCGGACTTTGAGTTGTAAGGCTTTTTAATTTAGAATGTTTTGGAGAACATTTTTCTTTTGATTTTATATCATTACCTGTAATTATGCCTGGTAACATATTTTTCATTATAGGAGTGATTTCAATTTCACTTTCTGATTCTGAGATATTTTCTGTTATTAAAGTAGAACTTGCTTTTGGAGCTTTTAATGATTTTGAATTGTGCTGCATTGTTGTGCCTTTTCCAATTACTCCAGATTCAGTAGTACCTTCTGGGTCTAATCTCAAAGCTGCAGAACATCCTCTAGCTAATGCCATACGTTCTATGGTGCTTAATTTCTTGTTATTGTGTTTATTATGAGGTAAAGAATTGAAATATCCTACATCCGCACCACTATCCCATTCCAAAGGCTTATGAGATGCGACACTGGAAGTAGGTGAAGATATCTTCCTTTCGGTACTTTCTAGTACTTCTTGACTTTCGTTCTTTGTTTCAGAAATTCTTTCTGTTGTGGTGTGTTTTAAATCTGGTGATGGAAATTGTGAATTTGTCAATGGCTGGATATATAGGGTAGAACTTTCTGTACTTGAAGATTGACCAATTAATGGTGGTCTTATCCATCTACGTCGTTCTCTAGGAACATAAGCTTGTAAATTATATTCTTCTCCAATGCAATCTTGCCTACTATTATTTAATTTAGAATTTAATTCATAAACATTGTAATAATACTTAACAGATTCAGCAGGTATATTGGATGTGGGTAAGGAAAAGTATTGATCCAAATTAGAACTATGGGAATATTTTTCGTAATATTCCATTACTTGTGTAGAAAGACTCTTCTTGGCTGCATGTAGTGACAGATTTGGCTGCTTTGGTATATCTTTAAGAGAGTGATGGGGCAAGGCTGTAGAGAAATGCAATGCTCTATCACCTTTTTGCTGTTCTTTCAATTCTAGAGGATCCTCTGTTGCTTCTAAATCTCTCAAATGACCTTCACAACTAGATTCAGAATCATATTCCATATTCATACAAAATACAACCATTCACATTTTTAATAAAGTTCCTATGTAATGTCATACATAAATAGTAAATGATTCCTTCTTTGTACAAAATTCACATACATTTGAGCAATATGTTCTAAGCCATACGATTGCGATTAAATAAGCCTTTACAAAATGATTTTCTTTTTATCTACCAGTTAAGAGAAGTTATTTATATTTTCCTTAATATCTATTAAACATTATCACACAACGATTAAATTTTTAAAACTAGGAAAGCTTACAGAACAAATTTATTCTATCTTTTATACATCATAGAATTAACAGTCGCTGTTAGCGTCACTTTTAAAAATTATGTAGAGTACAAGAATAGTTCGGTTACTTTAAAACTGAAATTGTTGTTTACATTTGCTCTAAATCTTTGCTAAGAGCCACAAGATGGCGGTGAATATCACAAACGATTATTACGATAATCGATATGAAACAGCAATCGATATTAATCAGATTCGACTCTAATGTTTTGATCATTGCTACATTTGACGATTATTTCTTCAGAAATCATGCAGAAGAATTGAGATAGTTTGATTTGATTATGTTGGAGATTGGTAGAGATCATATTAACCTATTCGTTATTTTTTTGTTATATCAAGTTAAATACGCATATGAATAATTTTTAATAAAACAATATCAATTAATAAAGTCATGTTTGCAATACGACGAGCGGTACAATTAGTAAGATGTATTAGTGTACAAGATTCTGTCAAATTTCATCATGCATCAGCGTCCCTAAAAGCATATTCCATAAATACGGAGCACCAGAAATGTGATCATTTAGAAGATGATCCTAATAAATCAACCAATGAAAATGGCAAGGAAGAGAATAAGAAAGTGTTCGCAAAAATAGAACCGAAGCTTCAATTAATCTTCAATTGTAAAAAATGCAATACACAAAATAATAAAATAATTTCAAAGTTAGCATACCAAAAAGGTGTGGTAATAATATGCTGTGATGGTTGTAAAAATAATCACCTTATAGCTGATAATTTAGGATGGTTTAGTGAGTTAAGTAAACATACAAATATTGAAAAAATATTAGCAGCAAAAGGTGAAACAGTACGTAAGATACAATATAATTCCGAAGGATTTCTTGCTTTTCCAAAAGAAGAATTAAACACTCAACAAGAAAAAGAAAACTTTGATGAATCTAAAAATGAAATAGATTCAAAATAATAAGGATACATGGAAGTTGGCAATTTTAAGAAAAGATATAGGTAAAAATCTAAATATAGATATAGATGTATAAAAATATAGATATAAATAAAAATATAAACAATTTAAGACTTTACTATAAATTTATTTTATATGTACATTTTCTGTTGCATGATAAATTTCTAACTTTTGTATATATATTTAAAATATGTTCTAAATTTTTATTAATATTACAATGTTATCCATTTATATTCTTCTTAATTAATTTTAGAAATAATGATCTAAAGAATGCCTTCAGCTTCTCAACATCATCCTTTATATAATTATATTAAGATTGTGTATACATTAACAAATTATTATTTGCAATAATTTTTAGTATTATCTTTTTAAAATCTATATCTAAAATTTATAAATATTTCAAAGCATGGCAGATTTTTACTTGGCACATGAGAAATTTGTTCATGTATACATACTTCACAGACTTAAATCGATTAAATCTTTTGTTTATTGAAATTGTCCTACGTTAATATATTTTTATTTAATATAGATAATACATATAAACTATGGATCTTTGAAGAGGATTATCTTGGTTTTTTTATAATATAGGCATATAAAAATAATTTAATGCCTTTTGTTTCATAAATAACATTTTTGAAGATGGATGTACAATATCATGTGATAAATGTAATAAAGACAGTTTAAAACCTAAGTATACTAAGGCACATGTCCAAAAGTTATTTCATTTTAATATATAAATTCATAAGAATTGGAATGAGTGTACTATAATATATTTCAAATATAATTATTTCTTTTATAGCATTATCGAAGGCACCATGTCTGAATCAGTCATGCTTTACACAAATAAAAGAAACCCATTATATGTCAACTTACACAAATATTTAAAATAATCTACTCTTACTTTCAAAGTAATTCCTACATGTTGACAATGGTCAGGAAGACTAGCGTATTAATAATCATCATAGGAATTCTGTAATATCAGTATTAATAGTTCGTGTAAACAAATTATTTTAACTTGACATATTAATGATGAATTAATATAAAAAATTTGTGTTCAATATTTGTCTTAGTTTTCTTTTTAAAAAAAAAGGAATGCTTTCTTAATGATTGTACAAACTAAAATATGTCTTCTCTTATTTTATATATTTAAAAAATGTAAATTGTGACAACTTTAAAATAATTCATTCACTTATTTCATATGTTTTATATTAGGATGAATAAAATTTTTGGAGGCTTCATACCCTTTTTGGTTTCGATACAATCGCGTATTCACCATCATTGTAAACTTTAGGCTTTGGTCCCATATTCGTATTAATGGAAGTTGATTCAGATGGAGTTTTTTTTCTAATAACAGCGTATCCAAGATGACTGTCATCTGCTAATCTAACAGTAGAAATATCTTCAACGATATCATAATTGGACCACGTAGCATTCGAATCGGCGGTAGAATTTGATACTGTAATTTGAGTTGTACTATGTGTATTTTGAGTTGTTGAAGATACAGTTGAAATTTTTTGCGTGGATATTGGAATAAGTTTAGATGCTGAGCCAAAATTTTGTAGTTCATCATAATCAGATGCCTCAGACATTTTACAAGATGTATGAAATATAGATGAAGAAATACTAATTACTTCACTAGTATTACTTTTATTTTTGGATGAATTCTGAGACGTGTTAACAGGCATCATCATCTCGTATTGGCTATCCTCATTATTTTCTTTATCTTTATTATTCCTAATTAAAGAAGGATTGTATCTTTCCGTGTGATGTATGTTGTCTGTACCATGAGTCTTCCAAGCATCATTTCGAACTTCTACTAAATCATAGGAATGTTTTTCTTCTTCTAGTATAGAGCTATTCACACTTTTTTGTGATGATTCTGGTGAATTAGTACTACTGAAGTGTTTTTGTTCACTGGAACTAGAGAAATCAAGTGTTTCCACATCGATATTTTTTTTGTCTAGTAAACCTGTAAATATATTCTTGCGTGGTGGTTTTGCGGGCTTTGGTTTGATGATTGGTGGAGAAGGTCTTGAAACAGGAGTTGAATCTGAACTAGAAGATGAATTTAACTGTTTTTGAGAATTTGGAGTTATAGCAGAAAAATCTATATCTATTAAATTTGCAGAGCTATTTGGAGAAGGAGGCAATGGCGATCTGGAGCCAGCTTCCATAGATAAAGCAGCATGATATTGAGTGTCATTGCACTCTATGTTCGGGCTATTGTCTCCATTTAGTAATTTTTTCATAGATTTCATCTTTGAATACATGCAACGAAAGATTTCTTGCTGGCTACCATGCTCCAAACAAAAAGAGCCTTCTCCAGATTCACATTTTCTTCCAGCTTCAAAGGTGAACTTTCCATCTCTATATCCATATCTTCTAATATATCTGTAAGGCCATGTGAATAAGACTACATCCCCATCCATCAATTTAATATCAACAGCAGCAACTACCAAGGTATAAGTTCTTGTTTCTAAACCACAACGCTTAGATGCGTCTGTCTCTACTACCTTAACAGAAAATACTCCTTCACCACTTGTACAGTATAAGTCTGTATTTTCTTCTATTGTTTGTTTCGATAACTTATCCTTAAATGCAACTAATTGGAATGCACTGATCCACCGGCACATATCTGCTACCGAACAACATCCAAAGTAATGTACGCCTGACTTTGTAACCACCTGAAGATAAGAAAATGTCATTACTATCAATCATATGAAAGTAAAAAAGAAATAAAAGATGCTATATTTTTAAAAGTCGATACTTACAGTAAATACGTGCGAATGGTTACTGGGTGCAATTTTAACACAAGCTTCCAAAGTAACAATACGAGGAGAATGTAATTGCAATATTGCTTCTTCATGATTATCATATATCTCAAGACGTTCAATTCCATAATTACTTGCCTTGAAGAGCTGACAAAATCTTTTGTGCCACGATTTCTACAAAGTAACAAGAGTTACCTTTAAAAATCATCTATTTGTCTATCTACTTTGAAGTAGAATAATACCGTTAGGAAGAAAATATCATAAATGACATACAAGAAGAAACAAGAACAATTAATTATTAAAACAGAAGTAGTGTTAATTATAAAAAATATTTAAAAAAATAATTACAAATACTAGAATATAGTTTTTTCAATGATACATATCCAGATATAAGGTTATTATATATCAACAAATTGGATGATAAATCCAAGAGTTCATCGAACGAGGTGAAGAACTCTTCGTGCAGAGAATTGCTAAGAAGTAACCAACCTTGAGTTGTCCTAGCACTCCTTGAGGCGGTAGAAGAAGAATCCCCTGTATCAAAGGTATCTCGGGCTCCATTGCTCGCGATTGAACATCGATTGACGATCTCGTGGCTTGGCTTGATCGATTATGGAAAAACGGTATGTCCACGTCGCAATCCTTTGTTCTTTGTGTCGCTTTTCACGAAGGAAAAGAGTACTTTTCTTACTTTCACTCGATGCACAGCACGCTTTTTCTTTTCCTCTCACTGCGAGGAGATGGCCCCTCGTGCGAAGACACGTCGTTGTCTCGCTAAATCTGACAGTCTCGTAAAGGCTCTCGCTATTGAGGATGACACTCAACCCATCATAACGACGCGTGGTGCTTGACATCTCACGAGAGAACGTTTCGATCTCGTTTCTTCGATATCGCACTCCGACGTCCGTATTTGCGATCCGAAAGCGCTTTTCCGCGTACCCGAGAGCGCGCGCGCGTTTATTCGCTGTCGTCCAACACGAGAGTGAGAGAAAGAGAGAGACAGAGAGAAAGAGAGAGAGAGAGAGAGAGAAAGAGAGAGAGAGAGAGAGAGAGAGAAAGAGATAAGGAGAGTGGATGGAAAGACTAGAAGAGAGAGAGGAAAGAACGAAACACTACTACAATCGGCGTTTTCATGAGATGTATGACGGTAACGTATGTGTGTACAAGCAATATAGGGTCATGCATGATCTCTCCACATCGCATTCCAAATCAACGTTGTCCAAGCGTCGAGCAGACTCTCTCTCTTTCTCTCTCTCTCTCTCTCTCTCTCTCTCTCTCTCTCTCTATTTCTCTCTCTCTCTCTATTTTTCTTTCACTCTCTCTCTCCTTCTATCTTTCTGTCTCTATCTCTCTGCTTTGTGCACGTTCTCGGTGCACTAACGATGACGATCGAATTATTACGAATGCGAAACCGTTAAAGGAGGAACAAAAATGTTAACTTTTTCAGTTTCTTCTATTTACACACATTTCTGCTTCCCTTGTATCATAGTTTTTTCTTTCTAGCTACTTTTTTTTTTTTTTTATATATCTCTCTGGCGGTATTCTGAAGCGTGTTCGAAAGTAGTAAAGAATGTAGTCGACGGAAGTGGTCTTTCTTATCGGACGACTTCATCGTGCGGAAGTGGTGCACCGTCGTACTGTACACGCATCGAAAAAAGATATTCTGCCTTTCGAGCTTCTTGTCTTTCTTATGTTGATTTTGTTTACCAAGTATTTTAAAGCTTTTATTTATTTCTTATGGATGTAACACATACACATGCGTGTATGCGTATATATATATATATATATATATATATATATATATATATAATGCAATTCTTATGGATTAGTTTAGAGACACCTTGTATAACAAGAAAGTTTCTTTTTGAAGGACGAAAGACAGCCTATAAATTTTATCTATGCAATTACGATATCGAAGCGGTTATTCAATTTCACACGTTTATGGAATAAGTTAGAAGTCTATGCGCCTCTTAGCAGGGTGCACTAACAGTAACTAGGTCAATGATGCATTTCATTCCAATTTCCGTGAAAGATTCGATCGTTTCTTAATAATTTATTAAATGATCGACCTTTTCGTCGATTCGTAGTAGACCATTGCCCACGAAGGAGGGGCTATACACGCCAATTGTGATTACGTTTTGACAAAGCCATCGTGATATAATGACTCAAAGAAAGTAATAGACTTTTATATTATTCACTAATGTCCACGAGTATGTATATATATGTCGAAGGCGTATATATATCGACAAGATCGCATATCAGGTTCATCGATAGTAATGATTTCCTTCCTTTTCTTCTTTTTGTGGAGCATCACCGGTGCGTTATACACTGATGGCTCATACATTCTGCCTTTCTCTAGAGTTAGGAATGCCACTATGGGTACGTCTGTCTGTCTGTCTCTTTTTTTTTGACACTGAACTTAAATTGTATATTATAGTTATTCATGTATAATTGATTATAATTATTTTTGAATATAAATCATCTTTTATCTATTTTAATTTTTCTCTTATTTTATCTTCGTATAAGATATAATACAATAAAAAAAGTGCAACAAATAATTACGGTATCATTCAAAGTAGCTGTCGTCATTGACAAAGGATTCTTCTCTGGGAAAGATGAAGATTATCGAAAAGCTCGCACGATGATCTTAGATTCGATCCATGAAATCGTGAAGAAGGAGATAGGTGTAGGTTATATAGATATACGCGCATTGCAAGACACGAATGTTGATCTTCGCGAAGGTAACATTTTATATGAATTTAATAAATGTTTTTTCACTTATTGATTCTTACGATTTTGCAGATTACACGGTACTCTTGTCGATTGCAACATGCAATAAAACATGGCATTTACATGAATCAGCACAGCAGTCTGGAGTTATACATCTCGCGATAACAGGTAAATGTAGATTATTAGAAATAACGATAGGTAAATCCCTAGAGATAATAATAGTTGCGATAAAAATTACGTTGAATCATTCTTTTTTTAAAATAGAAAAACAACTGAATTTAATTATTATTTCAGATCGTAGCTGCCCACGTATTTCAATTTTTGATGGTATAAGCATCCCATTGATTAACCCAGGCGAAGAATTGCCACAAATGTTTTTGGATCTTCGTACTGCAAACGCTTTATCTTGGAAGAAAGTTGTGATTTTGCATGATGACTCTTTTGGTGATCAACGAAATTTTCGATCCGTCGTAGCATGCAATTTTAGCTTTTCAATCCAGTCAACGATATGAAAAGGTAACGACTTCTTTGTTCCTTTTTTTAGAAAAAGAAAAAATCAATAACATCGTTCAAGCCGTAACGAGTGATATATCGAATATGAACATTGCATCGAGGTCGATATTTTCCTTTAAACGGTTTGCTTCTGAATGGGTCAGGAGACAACATATAAAAGATATACTTAACAGTTTTCACATTCAACAACTCGGCAATTGTTTCCTTGTTATCGTCACTGTCGATACAATCACAGACGTCATGGAAGTTGTAAGATCAACACGTGGATTTTAATTTAACAATTTTATTTCATTATGTACATTTATTTCATACGTGTATATGTATAATGAACATTCCTCTCCTTAGTCTTTTGTATTTTTTCTTTTCGATTATCTAAGTTTTTAATTTTCATTATTCTGTTGCTTATTCTATTATTTGTACGTGTGTATACATATATGTATGTACGTATCTATTTTAAAAGGCTAAGTCATTAAAGATGGTTCATCCCGGTAGTCAATGGTTGTACGTCCTCACAGACGCTGGAAATCGGAATTCGACGAATGTAACGTACCTTGCAGATTTATTGCCAGAAGGTGGAAACGTGGCCCTTATTTACAATATTACTACATCCGATAGTATCTGTAATGTAATTGATTAATTAGATATTATTAAAAAAAAATAATAATAATTTCGATCATTCAGTTTCGACTAACACAAAGATTTTTATTTTTTAGATCGATCTTCTTTATTATGTTAATGATTTTGTTCGATATTTTGCGAGTGCTGTGAAAAATTTATCTCAAATCAATAATGAGTTATACGAGAACATCACTAATACGGAACATGAAATTTCTGGATTAACCAAGTCTCAAATAAATTCATACATTCTCAAGAGTATTAATGTGAGCGATTATTATTGCTAAATTGTTTGTTAATGAATCTTATAATTAACAGAAATATTCTTTTATATTGTTTAGACGAAATTTTCAGAAAAGTCAAATTTATCTAATAAAAAATACGGGAACTGTTTATTTTGGAAAATTTCTTCAGCTATTACTTGGGGAAATTATTTTCTTTTTGGGAGGAAAGGCGCTAATTTGATAGAATCAAGCACTTGGAGGCCAAGACAAGGTATTAATTTATCCGATGTAATATTCCCTCATATTGCATATGGCTTTAGGGGTATAAGTCTGCCGATAGTGACATTTCATGTGAGTAGAATTTATTATAAGTTATCTATGTATCTTCATTAATATCGTAAAGAAGAATTATTTTTTTTAGAATCCACCCTGGCAAATGGTAAATGTGATGAAGAACGGTGAAGTGAGTTATAGTGGATTGGTCTTTGACGTGCTTAAGTATTTGGGTAAAAAATTAAATTTCACATACGTGGTTTTTGTTCCCAAAATTGCAAATAACACGAAAGCCCTACGTGGCTCTACTAGGGCTTTAAAAGTTGGGGAGGTTCGTTTTTTTCGTATTAATAATTTGTGATGAATTCGTTGTTTTTTGTAATTCAATATTCAGATATTGAATATCGTATTTGTGTGTGGATCTTATTCCTATCAGCAGGAAACTTTTTTAAAGCCCCTGATAATAGACAAGAAAAATTTTTTAATACTTATAGATGGGTTGCCTATATAAGGGGCTCTATAAGAATTTCTTACTGATAGATGGCATTCGTAAGTATCATTATTGACTATATATAGTAAAGTCTAGCCGCAATACTTGAAGTTGAATTATAAAATTATAATGAAATGTATAGGAAATAAAAATTATAAGAAAAATTTGTAGAGGCCACACGGAACTTTGACATCGACCACGAGAAAATTGCCGGAAGAAGTGTTGAAATTAGTTCGTACGAAGAAAGTTTTACTTGCTGCTTGCGCCTATACAGTCAGTGATTTTGAGAAGAGTGCTATTAATTTCACCATACCTATCTTCGTTCAGACATACAGCTTTTTAACATCAAGACCAACGCAACTGTCGAGAGCTTTGCTCTTTACTTCACCATTTACTAAAGAGGTATGCGATCATATGTTCATCATTAACTAACTTCGATCCAATTTGCTTTTATTATGCTACATAGTTAAACTTAATTTTGAAACGTCAGAATTTCTGACTGACAAAACTTTGAACTTACATTCGCAAAGTTTAACATGTATCTTATGCATGAACGCAAGTTATATGTTACGTTGAATGGCTTCGCTTTTAGACGTGGGCCTGTCTGGCCGCAGCCATTATTATAATGGGTCCAATCTTATACCTGGTTCACAAGTACAGTCCATCTAGTACGAAGATGTCCGGTTTGAATTCGTCTTGGCAGTGTGTCTGGTACGTCTATGGTGCACTTCTTCAGCAAGGTATTTTATACTTTTCTTATTTTTTTTCATTTTAAAAAAGAATTTTGTATTTTCCTATAATCAGAAAAAAGTATATATATCATATCATATTATATCGGCGATATGTTTTTTATTGTAATTAAGAATATAACTATTTAATATTTTTATGGAATAATTAATACTATAAATTAGTAATAATTTCTGATATTGTAATGAATTTTTGAAACATATTTTAATGCAACGGAAAGCAAACTTAAAGAATTAGTAACGCATACAATTTCGATTTTAGGAGGAATGTACTTGCCTAAATCTGATAGTGCTCGCATACTAGTTGGTACCTGGTGGTTAATCGTAACAGTTCTAGTAGCAACTTACTCTGGAAGTTTAATCGCATTTCTGACCTTTCCGAAAATAGATGACCCGATTTTAACAGTGGACAATCTTCTCGCTCATAAGGATAAGTTAACTTGGGGTTTTCCGAACGGTAGCTTTCTAGAGGAATATTTACAAAGTTCTGAAAATGAACAATATCGTTTGCTTCTTTCTCGTTCGGAAAGACATAACGACACAGAAGAGACGGATATCATTAGACGAGTGAAAGATGGCAAACACGTCTTCATTGATTGGAGAAGCTCTTTGCGGTATATATTTGAGGTCATTCATGAACATTTTTTTATTCTAATATTTAGTTATTTTCGAATGATAGGTTTTTGATGAGGAAGGATCTGTTATCCAGTGGAATTTGTCATTTTTCTCTTAGTACAGAAGAGTTCATGGACGAACCCATTGCGATGATCGTTCCCAACAATAGTCCATACTTGCCGATCATAAATAGCGAGTAAGATTATTAGATTTCTTAAAGAAACAACATCTCGATAATATTTATTGTGATAGAAATAATTTATTTTACCATTAAGGTTGTATCGTATGTATGAATCTGGTTTAATAAATAAGTGGATTTCCGAAAAGATGCCAACGAGGGATAAATGCTGGGTAGGTGCAAACTCTAATGAAATCGTGGACAAGCGTAAGGTTAATGTTGCTGATATGCAAGGAATCTTTTTTGTACTTTTCATGGGTAATATCACTATCACTAAGAAGATTGCTAAATGAAAAAATATGTAACAAAATGAGAACCAATTTATTTTCTACAGGAATTGTTTTAGCGATCATCTTTCTCTGCTGGGAGTTTTATTGGCACAGACGAAAAGTATCGAAACAACGTAAATTTATCCAACCATTTGTATTCTAAATTTTTCTTAGAAGAACATTTATGCACGATCGTTATAATTGTTATATCTTTACATTTTTACTATAATAATGTCGAAGAATAAACTAGCATTATCCTTGCAACAATGTTAAGAAATTTAGTTTTAGAAATATCGGATTGTCGGTTTTTATGGTTTTAAGGGCAAACGGAAACCAGGCTTGAGTAAGGTTGCTTAAGTCTAAGTTGATTATCCTAAGATTTCAAGGATGGATCGGCGGAAATGGTCGGCAAACGGAAAAGGTCCTGTACGCGCGTAATATTGTGATGGGCATTGCAAGTTCGAGTTAATTATCGCAGAGACCCTCATTGTCGATCCTCGATGTATTTAGCAACGATTCTTGGTGGTGCCGTGCGCGCAAGGTAAAAGTCATGAAATTACATAATGCATTCGCTGTGGATATCCTCTTCTAACTGTCTTTCTCGAAAACCGGGTTTTCGCATGGCGTGTTTTTTCTACCGCTTACGTTAGATCCGCAATCAACGAAATTTATAACTATAATTCGTAAGGTATCACCAAAACGGGATATTGCACTTCTGCAATATTTAAAAATAATTTATAAATAAAAAAGCTCGAACATCGTAGTATTTCGTTTATAAGTTATGCGACATGTTTGATTGGTAAAAATGCCTATATAATAGCAAAGGAGCGATAATCGAAGTTCACTGGAAAAACTTATTCGTTTATAAAGTATAAGCGAGATCTCAAAGTAAAAGGAAAAACATAAATGTGTAAATGAATGAACGAGAGGCTTTTACGATTTTTCATAACTTTTATGAATTCTCGAAATATTGTTTCCTTTCGTGAAAGCAATCTTCATGTGTATTCTATTCGAGTTTTTGAACGAAAGAGAATGAGCAAAGAATATATTAAAACAGTAAAAAGAAAGAAAAAAGAACACGAAGCTTGTAATGGGAGTTTTTTTTAGTTAGGGTTTCTATCGAAGCTAGGGAGAAGGTCAAATCTTGGTAGGTGCGAAGGCGATACGAGGAGAAACGGCAGACGCGGGGTTGTCCACCTGATGACCTTGCCGTTGAAAAAATCGTGGAGTAGCCGGCAGCGAGCTCGGAACTGGCGGCGTGAGCCATCTGCGAGCCAGTTCTGTTGTAGAGCGCGCGAGACTAGGACTAATCCTAATAAACGCCGAGCCGGAGTCGTTGCCGAGGTCGAATAAACGAGCGCACGAGCTCAACGCAACTTGCCCGCTCTTTCAGTGAATCGAGAAATTGAGTCGTTCGTCGATACCCATGAGGTAACCAAGTCTAAGGAATATAGAGAACCAGATCCGAGTACTTACGTGAGAGAAACGAGGAAGAAAAAGAAATGAGGATATCGTTGATCTGGATCTTACTCTTACAACGTACGTACGATGTTTTTTCCTATTTCGGATATTTTTCTTTTCCTTTTGCATAATTGATCGAAATTTTTGAGCAGTTTGATATATTAATATTTTTATTCTTTAGTTTTTTCCTTCTATTTTTTAATTTATATATCCTCGTCAATTCATGACATAATTAATTAAACAGAAATAGAATTGAATGTATGAAATGTTTCAAACTTTGACAGAGATAATTTTCATCTCTATTTATATAATAATCTTATTTATAGTAATATATAATACATGTTACATTAATATGACATAATATTTGTTTTTCTTCTCAGTGTTGTTCGATATCGCACATTCGTACCAAGAAGCCGATTTCGATGGTTGGTATCAACCAGTGGCACGTCGACCGGTCGACGTCGTTACCGACATTGTTAACGATCTTGGGGTGAGAATCCTTCAGCAATACAGCAATCTTGGAAATGTCGCCTTTTCACCAATCGGAGTTGCTTTCGTTCTGGCTGCGCTTTACGAAGGGTCAGCTGGCGGAGGAAGTCATCAGATAGCAGAAGTTTTGGCTTTGCCACACAACCGAGACATCACTAGGATTGGTTTTCGTGATATTCATCGTCGACTCAGAGTAAGACTCCTATAATTCGTAGCATTGCGTAAGTATCGGTCGATCATGGCTCGTTTCGCGACATTAGTTTTCCTTTAGAAATTGTTAATTCAAAGTTTTCGAAAGCGAAGGATCTATCACCGATATCACGATTTCTTCGAAAGAAGTCGTCAACTCGGACTGCTTTAACGAACGGTGATGAATTTTTTTTTTAAGACTTACCTGAACGCCGATGGTTTTTTGGGTGGCTTGACGTTAAACAGAGAAAACACCAAACTCCGACCAGAATACGAGGACATTTTACGATTTTATGGCTTTAATTTGTCGGATATAGATGAGAAAGAATCCAATGATACAACAACAATGTCCGCAGGAGCTACCGAAGTTACAAATGCACCGACCACTGAATCAGAGGATTCTACTAAACCATCGACAACTATAATTGACACTACTCTTTCCTCAGGTACTTCAATCATCTCAGAATCTATGGAGCTACCCGTAACTTCTATTTCCATATCTCCTATGACCGAAACACTTGGAACTACAATTAACGAGGGGATGGTATCGGACAGGCTAACGCAAGTATCTAATATTAGCACCACGATTTCTAGTACAAGCGATTCTAATACCTTTACTACAATCGTGACTGACGGAAATTTGAGTACTATGCCTCAAAATTCTACGTATTCTATGCAATTACCAGCTGTTACAATGCCATTTGAGACAATGCAAATTACGGTTGGTCAAACTATCGGAGAGATAAGCACAATTATACCAAACATTCCTGATACGACCAACGTGGTGATGAGCGATTCTCAAACAACGGTTAACACTGCTATTTCGAGTTTGCAAGATGTAGAAAATACAATGATTCCAACGAGTACATTATCTCTCACTACGATAATTGCATCTGTAACACCTTCGAATATGCAAACAAGTTCAATAGACTCGACCGATCAGATCGAGGTAATGAACTTGCCTACAGATACGTCATCGGTCGAAACGAATATAACAACGACGACTCCAGTTTCCGTAACAACGAGCGCGGGGAATAATCTCGAGATCGGACCTCCCGCTGAAGAAAGTACCGTTTTGACGAATCAGCCGACAAGTGGACCGAACACTATGCTCGGAATTGTGGATCTTGGATCTACGAATTCGATAAACGAAGGAGGACAAGGAATGACCACAGTGCCAGCTTTGATAGAAAATGTCTCGAGGAATCAACTTCGAAAGCGAAGTACGAGAAATTCCCGAGGCTACTTCTCTAGTTATCCAGGTAAGTCTTATCGTCGATGATGAACGATCAGATCATTAGTGTTTTTTCGCCTTTTCAGACGAAGGTATCTGGATGCAGGATCTTGGCATTTGGAAAGCCTATCCGACCATCAACAACGAGGCTTCCGTCAGGGATTCTACAGAAATATCTTTTCTAGTGAATGGTTGCGACGTGGCCTCGGTAATGGCTAGTAGATATGTTGCGGTTCTACCCTTTGCGTACTTTCCATCGCTGCAAGCTGTTGCCGTTGAGTTTCCTTTGGACGTAAGCCGCAAAATCACTTTAACACGTTTTTCATTCGTGGCTATTGAATTGTAGTTTTGAATGCATGAAACCGATTATCCAGAACAGTTTTGTGGCCGAGTTTACACGCTTCGCTGAAGGTCTCTTTTTTTTATAACTTTTTCTTTTTTTTGTCAAATGAAAACGTATGCGTTAGTATTCATTGAATAACTTGATATATTGTGTTTACCTTTAGTTAAGGACTAGGAACGCGTATTTGAAAAAGACTGTGTGCTTCCTGTCATGAATTGCCTTGTGGATACGATAAAAGATGTCTCTTCTTTTTGTTGAAGGATCCGAGATATAACATTCTTCTTCTTATGCCGACGGATAGAACAGATACGCATCGTCTGGCGAGAGATCTCGGCAGGAAGTCATTGAGATGGTTACGGAAGCAGTTGCAACCAGCTTGGGTCAGAGCTACCATACCCTCTTTCATGCTACGCGGTTTTGTCACCCTCACGTCTTTTCTTCAAAGAGTGAGTTAAGTTTTTTCTTCAAGTTCCTTCGGAAATTTTTATTCAAAATTGTTTAAACGTCGGTAGCCATTATAGCGTGACAACGAAAACTTTCAAAGCCGATTATTATTTATGTCTTCCGGGTTACGTCGTTCGATATTGCACCATTAGTCTCGGACATTAAGCTTTTAATTACTTAATCGCGTTAGTCGAGGTCTTAATTGTACCTTCTACGAAGAAAGAAGATAGTTTCTCCGGAATTCTGCTCGCTTACGCGTCATGCAACGTACTTAATTCCGTTTTTTTAAATTCATTTTATTTGACATTTTATCAATTATTCGTTAGAACGAACATGCTCAAGAGATTTATATTTTATCTGATAGCTTGGAATAACCGATGTCTTCGAGCCAAGAGTGGCCGACTTGTCACCGATGACTTCGGATTTAGGAGTTTATGCTAGAGACATCCAACAAAGCATAGGAGTGAATATAAGGAATTACATGAAGCCGGATAGAACCCACTCTCGTGAGTCAACTAATATCGAATCACCGATTCCCATCGTACCATCTCGTCGAAATTCTTACCGTTTTCTTCTTCATTCAGGTTTTATTCTACGCTTTGTATATACTATTGCACTATCATCCTTATTTTCTACTCATCATTTTAACGCTTCCTTTGACTTTCTATCTTCAAACGTAAATCGATTTCATTTACCATGAATTAACTTTTTCATTTGAAATTAGTCCGCTTATTTTAACAGAGAACCCTTTCAATGAAGTCAAATGATGTTACTCGCTAAAAAAAGAAAAGAAATGTTTTACACAGCGCGAGAAACAAATTTTCATGTTGGCGACAACTCTTAAGAAAACATTGAAAAAATTACGTTGTCACAATTTATCGCAGCTAGAGAGTAAAATTGCAATTTGTTTCGCCTTTGCTTGGTCGTATCACAAACATCGTGCGGACAATTTGCAAATGCAAACCGACGCTCCCTCCTTCCAACATATACGTTCGACAATGGCCAGCTATTACTACTAGCGCGTTGCTCGTTTGTTTTTTTTTCTTTACATGCTTTTTGCATCTTCGTCTTTCTCTTCTCCTTTTACCTTTGTTTTCTTTGTTCACCCTCCGAAGAAAAATAGGTATTATTACCGTCGTTAACGATGGTAAAAATTTGTTAAATCACACTGCCGAAAGGCACAATATGTTCCTTTGAAATTACATGGTATAGTCCTTGTTCTTTTTGAAAGTAAATACCACGAAGTTGGACGTTAATGTCGTTAAAATGAAATTCTCGAGATATGTGTTAACTCCATTTCAAAAGAAAAAAGGCATGAGTTTCCATACTATCGATCGTTGAAAAAATCAATTTTGTTTTTATCGAGATATATTAGACAAAAAAATCATTGCTTACCATCTTAAAGTTTAAAAAAAGCATTTTATTGCGCATTTATTGCAATTGTGTCGAGCATTGCGCAGATTGGGAGATGGAAGAGAGTATCATTTATTATCGAGAATATTCTCAGTATTGTTATAAAGTTCGTTTAATTTAATAGCTGATATCCTGTGTGAGTCAGAGAAGGAAACGAACGAAAAGACCTTGCGCAAAATCTTTTCGTAATTTTGTACTTTTACAAAGATATTGCCGTTTTTTCTTCGCTGTGAGGTTCCGAAACTTTTTCAATTTCTTGCTATACTATATTTTAATATGCATTTGTCTTATTAATTATCTTATCCTTGCAGCACGTGCACACTTAGAATTTCTAAAGTTTATAGTATGGTATTTATTAATACTTAAATGTAATAACATCAATGATTTATAGGAAATGGTTTATTCGAACGAGCTGGACCAGTGCCGTTTACAATCGTACATCCGTTTCTTTATTTTATCATTGATACTGAAACCTCGGTAACGTTGATTACCGGTCGAGTGGACGATCCTCTTAATTCAAGAATCATTTAGATATTGTTGAGTATTTTTCCAACATGAATTGATACGAGATCATTGGAAATTACGAAATATCAGGTAAAGAAAAAACGAAAAACTTCAAAGTAATAATAAACGTATATTTATTTGACGACTCTTATAAATAACTACAAACTTATAAACAAGTATACATATATATTTATTTACTGAAGTTCTTTTTTGTCTATTCCGCACACATACCTTCCAGTATACAACTTTTATTGTGCACTGTACAGATTTACTTGTTAAAAAAAAAAGAAGAAGAAGAACGAGGACGAATCAAATATCGAACGATAATAATCATTATTATCGCAGGAGAATGTCAAGAGGAAGGGCAAGAGCTCAGCGTTTCGTTGTTCAAAAAAAAAAAGATCAAATCATCCTCCAGATATCGTAGAGACAACAAGTATACATAAATAACGAAAAATTACATAAAAAATATTATCGGGATTTCTCGATTCACAGTTTTTCGTAAACAAGATCTTTCTTCGTTGGTTCGTATATAGGTATAAGAAAATACAAGAGTATTATTGTATAGGTTTTTCACTTGTCCGATGATTAGTGGACGGGATCGATTAATTAATCTTTTATTAACTAATAAATATATTATCATCTTACTCATATAAATACAGTTCTATCACGAGCGCGATAAAGCGCGGGATGTCCTTTCGATGACTCCGAACTAGTAGCTCGTTTTCCTCGTTATTTTTTTAAGGACGGTATAATAAGACGATCAACGATATATTCGATGATATACGACGATGTATTTATCTTGATACTTCGTTATCTATTCGTTTTTCGTATACGAAAAGAATTATTTCAAGGCAAAATCAACGTTTTTCTGTCAATGATAGCGAAATCTTCTCATGAGTGAAACGATAACGTGTAAATTGATTTTTCAAGCTTCGCATCGTTTTCCGACACATGGGCGATTAGGAATCGTTGACGAAGATCTTTCTTTGAGAAAAAAGTCGACGTCCATCTAATATACCGAGACGTCATGTGACGTTTTTCAAGATCCAAGAGACGAACTTTGAAATTCTTGTACAGACACCCGGTAAATTGGCTTCGGCACATCCGATACCCCAAGATATTATACCGGCGAGAAAATATCGACCATCCTTTCCACGTACCTGAAGAGGACCACCTGAGTCGCCCTGAAATAGAATCTTGTTTAATAAAACCATTTAGAATCATTAAATATTTCCTTCTTTTATTTATAATTGATAAAATCATTGATCGTTGAGTAAATTTTGTATAAATTTGATGTCTATCAAACATTTGAAGTAAAATTAGTAACATCAAGCGAACGCGTGCGCCTGTGCGTGTTCTCCGTAATAGTTGTATAAGGTTTATAAAATTACCTGACAAGAATCCTGTCCTCCTGTCTCGTAACCGGCACACAGAAAGATATCCGGTATAAATTCATGTCTGCCCGCCCTGAGGAACATCGACTTACATCTGTCGTTGCTAACGATCGGCACAGAAACCTGAAATCACACAAATCACGTTGACAAACAGACGCAGAGGTTAGATGCGTATATAGTTGAAAAGAATGAAAGGAACATAGGAAAAACGACAACCTCTTGAAGCACAGAAGGTAAGGTTCCTCCTTCACTCAATCTTCCCCATCCGGTGACCGTCGCGTTTTCTCCTATAAGAAGATCGTCGGTAGCTGGCAGGCATATAGGCGATATGTGTGGTGCGAAGGTCAATGGACTCTCCAGCCTAACCAGTGCCAGATCGTATTCATAAGTAAAGAAATTATATTTCGGATGAACGACTTTCTTGGCAACTCCACGCTCGACATAGGGCAGACGTTCCTGGACCGACGAGAAGTCATATTCCCCGACGCGTATTCGAATTTGAGATGTCAGCAAGCTAAACATTAAAAAAAGACCAAAAGTCAAGATAGATTTTTTTCTTTCGTTCGAACGTAATTATAGCAATATTTTTTTCATAGAAAATTTGTTTTACACCTTCGAAAGAGTGTTTATTTACAGCGATTTTTTTCTGTCAAATCTATTATGTGATTCGAAGCAAACAAATTGATCGATCAATTATTCGACGTGAAGGATCGTTATATGTGTTTTTAGAATTTATTAGATGCTAAGGCAAGTTACTGGTAAAGGAAAGAAAGGAAGAAAAAAAAAATAGATGAAGATTTGATCTCATTGAAAATAATTCGATTAAATCGTCAGTTCGTTGTCCGTACTCACTCATCGACACAATGGCCCGCTGTTGCGATCCAATTTTCATTGAGGACTGCGCCACCGCAACGATGGGTACTCGAGAAACCGAAGAAGGACGTACGTCTAACCGATACCTGCCAAGGCCATCGACCGAACGGAGCATCCTTGCCACCGACTATTCTGGTTTCTGGAAGTGGAAAGAGAGGAGGGACACCGCATTGAGTGCCTTTGTTCTCAGCTACTGCCGATACCGTCATCATTGTGCCTGTCTTCATTAAAGTCTCCGGTGTTGTTGATTTTAACATAGATTCCGTAGACTTTCTTGTTGTAGTCGTTGTAGTCGTTGTAGATGGCTTTTCCGTAGTGGTTGTAATTGTGCTGGTAGTAGTGCTGCTAGTAGTAGTCGTTGTTGTCGTGCTCGTGGTTGACGTTGTGGTCTTCTTCATCGGTCTCGTTCTCGTCGAGGTCTCAAAGTGGGACGTCGTTATGTAGTGCGCCGAACCCACGGGTTTGTGGTATTCGGTCTTCTAAGACGAAAAAGGTGAATATATAAGTAAGAAGGTTAATGTCGTTTCCGTAAACAGAGTACGGTGAGATAAAGGTAACCATGTTTTAGACAACAATTTTTTTATATATACATCAATCGATAGAAGAGTAAGACCATCAGAATTATCTATAATGACTCAATATAAAGGATAGCATTAAATAACGTACTTCTTGTGACTCAGTAGGCTTAAAACTCGATTGATGAGGAAAGCTTTCCGGCCCATTTTGCATAAAACTAGGATTGTCGGTCCAATGTGGTTTTAAGGACGGTCTGGGTGGCGTCCAGTTGTTTTCCGACCAAAAATAAGAGCTAGTGCTGAAGGGTTTAGTGGTTTCAAACACGGTTATCGGCTTTGCTGATGAAGAAGAAGTCGAAGAGGAGGACAACAACGAGGTGGACGAAGACGATGACGAGGGTCTCTGCTTTGTTACAAACGCCGGCTCTGTGGTAACTTGCCAGTGAGAGGTTTGTGGTACGGATCCGGCTGCGCTAGAATGAAAGAAAAGTTTTAAGCGCTGGCTAAGAAACTTTCATCTCCACTCCCAGCACTTTTATTTTATACTTGCTACGCATAATCGATAATAAATAAAGGAGAGATATAGAACGCAACGCAGCATATAATTAGAAACAAAATACCATGCCGATAAGATTAATCAAAGATTTTCATTCCTTTTTCCTAAGTTTCCTTCCATATCTTGCCTTTTTTAATTAGCATATTCGCACATTTGATTACTCAACCACGTAGTCGAATACCTAGTCGGTTGACTATTGAAATACGTAGGTTTTGGCGATGTAGCCGTTTTCAAAGACACGTCCGAGATATTAGGTTTCAGGACGAAGGTTGGTCTCGCATCAGTTTGACTACTCAAGGAGATCGGTCGAAATGTTGTCGTCTTGATCGAGAAGTACGGCTTTGAGAAATCTGTCAATGGTTTCGGGGTAGCTGGTTTTGTGGCCCATTGTGGTCGTTCAGTGTATATGAGGTTTATATTGGAATGCTGATTTTTCAGGGGTTCCTAATAAGACGTATAAAATTAATTTTTGTCAATTTTCAGAAGAAAATAATATATATGTAATTTATGTATGTAAAATACAAATAAATAATATAATTTTCTTACATTTTCATTAACAGAATTGACGTACGGTCGATGTATTGTTTCCTGTACGTTCAAGTCAGCATCCTCCGCTTTTTCATCATCTGGCCTCGACTCCGAGGGTCTTTGGTTGTTCGGCCAATTAGGCCTCTTCGACTGCCCATCGTTCGACGCATGTTCCTTTCCAGGCAAGCGTATCACGAGCGTATTAGGCGAACTTCCTATTTTATCCTTAAAGCCTTGATAGTTTCCATGCCCTTGGAGCTGCAGGTCGACCTTATCGTCCACGTTGGTATTTGGTCTGATCTTTTGTTGAGGCAACTGTGACTCATGGAAGTTTGGTCTTTTTGTACCTTGAGAGCTGTTACCCCAATAAGGTGAAGATCCAACTGGGAGCACGGAAGTTTGAAATCTATCAGTATGTTCGGACGTTGGCTTCGCATGTGGTCTTTTTTGTAAAGGTCGAGCAACGTTACTGGAAGGTGTTTTGAAGGGTCTCGGTGAAGCGATGAATCCAATGTGAGAAGATAATTGCTGATGAACGACGCTTGGTTTTGAAGTACTCGAGATCGGGAAATTCGAAAGAGAAGTCAAGGTAAACTTTGTCGTCTCGCTTCCCAGAACTTCCGCCAGTGTTGGCCTGAGAGTATTCGACTCATGGTGATTATGATGATGGTGATGTTGCGGATTTCCTTGCTCCTTGTGACGATGATCTTGTTCCTGCTGATTTGACTGATGTCCTAGCGAAGCTATCGAGTTCACTGTTGAATTGTGAACGCAGCAGCTACCGAACATGAAGGTGTCCACGCACACACCAACGTGCGTGCCTTCCGATTTGATGCACTCCCAGACGAACATGCAAGTACCTTCGTGGTCACCTGGACCGGGCACTTTGCAAGGCTTCGGACTGATCTTGTAGCCTAGGATCAAGCAAGAACTACGATCGCTATCTCGTTTGACGGAGAATCGAAATGTCGATTACTCTTCTTCTAGCTCGGTCATGGTGCAGAACCGTACGTTGATACGAGCGTACGTATGTACAAGTAGCAGAACGAGGAGCAACGGTAAGTGCAAGTAATGCATGTAATACGATCGTCGAACGGACATGGTGCGCGTAGGGTCACGATAAAATCTAACGACCGTGGA